TGGTACCCTGAGCAGTTCTACAATGCAGGTACTTCTGCCAAGTATCATCCGTGATGTGAACGGCATTCCAAACGTAACAGTGAATGGAGTGTCGAGGATATTCATCAAGTTCAAGAGTGCTGGGTTTTACTCCAGCATAGTCGACACGTTTCAAGAAAAGAGAATGACCGTTAATTCTGCAGTAAAGGTCTGCCTACATGACGTATCAAGCTATGTAACGTGGGTAAAGGTGAGAAATGTCCCCTTTGTGGCCTTGGAACATGATGTTGTGGTGGTATTCCGTAGATATGGCAAGATCCATTCGGCGGAGTTGGGAGTGTGGAAGGATGGGCCTTATATGGGGCTGCCAGAGGGATCTTTCACCTTGAAGATGACATTGAGACAACCTATACCATCGTACGTTCTGATGGAAGAATTCAGAACCCAGGTTTATGTATATTATGCAGGACAGCGCAGGACGTGTAGGCTGTGTGGGTCTTACGACCATATGGCGGCCCAATGTCATCAACGGCAGGGAAGGAGAAAACAGGTGCCAACAACGGTGGAACAACAGCTGGGCTCTTTGGCACCTGGGACAGGTGAAGCTGCAGGCCAGGCATCTGGAAGTTGGAGTGAAGAAGTTGACAGAGCGGCGTCGGAGATGGGAGCATGCACCACGTTACCTGTGGGAACTGTGTCTGAGCGAACATCTATGGATGCGATTGTTGACAGGAGTGACTTGCAACAGTATGGTCTGTTGGACAGGTCTTGAAAGACTTCCTGGGGAGGTGGAAACCAGTCAGAAAGGGGAGAAGGACGGGAGGGCAATGGTGGGGGTAGTAGCTGCACAGGAGTGTGAGGACACCTTGTGCAACGAGAGTAAGCAGCACACGGTGGTGGTTGAGGTGCACCAGGAGGACATGGATGCTGAGGCACCGTGTGGAGAAGGAGGCTCACGTAAATGAGCAGCTGGGACGTCTGATATGGAAGATTCCTTAACGCCTGGGCAGAGATCAGGAAAGAAAACTTGGAAGAACGTGATAGATCTCCCGGAGAATGGTGGCACCAGTTCTGTGGCGCTGAAAGGGTCAAAGGAAAAGGGGGGATCGGAGGTCTGGATAGACCAGGTGCCAAACGTGGCTATAGTCAACAGCCAAGTCTTTCGAGCAATCTTCACAGGCGGCGGGGGAAGCCGCCTTTATTGTAATAATTCAAGGTGGTCACTATTAATGTTAACGCCCTGAGAGCTGAGGTTAAGAGAGTGTGGATGGATTGGCTTTTGAGGAGATTTGATGTGGATATTTGTTTCATACAGGAGCATAATTACAAGTTTGGATGTGAGTTGCGTTTGAAGGGATATAAGTTATATGTGAGAGGATTGGTGAGGTTAAAAAGGGGGAGGGGTTGCTGTGGCTGTGAAGGAAACCAGTCCCTTGCGTGTGTTGGGGTGGGAGGAGGGTGGGGGTGGGAGGGTGGTGCGGGTAGAGGGAGAGTGGAGTGAGACAAGGGTTTGTTTTATAGGAGTATACATGCCGGCGGATGGAAATGCAACATATTAAGGTAACTTTCGTGAGGGATGTTTTGCTTTTTTATTTGAGAGGATTTCCTTTAGTCACTGTGATAGGAGGAGATTGGAATTGTGTCATTATGCCAGGGTGATGTGGAACCTAGGGGGGCGGGGTGTGTGTTGGGGTTTTTACGCAATGTGTTGGGGGATGTGGGCATTTTAGATGTAGTGGGGAGGGGTGGTTGGAGGGTTGAGTATACGTTTGTACGATGGGGTTATGCTGCATGACTGGATAGGCTCTATGCTACAGAGGTAATACGCGTTCTGGGAGTTAGGACTTTCGATGTGGGGTTTTCTTACCACAGGGCAGTTATTGCGGATCTTGATTGGGAGGGTATGGTTAGGATACACACTGGTTATTGGAAATTAAATGCGAGACTCGTGAAGGGGGAGGGGGTGTGTGATGCTCTTGGGGATTGGTGGCACTCTTTTTGGGGATCAAGGGATGTGGGGTCGGGTGTCTTGGAATGGTGGGAGAAGCGAGCTAAGCAGGGTATTGCTGGATTCTTTAAAAATAGGCGACGGGAAGAGGCCATGTGGAGGTATGGGTTACAGAATTATTTGGAATGTCAGATGAACGAGTGTTATGAGGAGGGAGGGGGGAGGCAGTACGGGACTGTGGAGCAACTTAGAGGTAGATTGGCGGAAATACATAATGACAGATTTGATGCGGTGCATGTGAGGGTGGGATTGGAGGCTGTATTGTGGGGGGATAAACCTTCGGGAAGTGTTTTAAGACGTTTTAGGGTAGAGTGGGGAAGGTGATGGGGGATGTGCAGAGATGGTGGGGAGGTAATGAGTTAATTGAATGTGAAGATATGCTGAGGGTTTTGTTATTGGTCAAGGATGTGGTGCGACTTAAAGTGGGGCGTTTGGCATCATTGAATAGGAGGACGGAAATCCTGCAGGGCATATCGGTTGTATGATTGGGGGACGATATGGGAGGACTTCCGAAGGCTCAGGTTAATACCTAGGGTACGGAAGTTAGTATACACATTCATGATGGGGATCCTAGCTTCAAAATCAGTTTTGAGTTTAATTGGTTTGGTGTGGGAACCGTCCTGCAGTCAGTGTGGCGAGCTGGAAACAGCATTTCATGCGGTTTTGGTTTATTTTTGTGAAGCATTAAGGGAGGTACAGATGTGGTTGGCGAGGGTTTTTCGTCTGCTGGGTGGGGGTAATGTAGAGACCCTGCAAGCTTTTAACATTAGAGGTGAAAGGGGTATCAAGGGAGGTAAAAAGGGCGATTATGTATGTGGTAGTAGATTTTCTGTATATTTCCTGGGGAATGAGAGATGCTGGGGGTAGGATTCGAATTAAGGCAATTGCGGCGTGTATATACAGGACTGCTGGTAAGAACAAACTTATTTATGGAAGTCGGTGGGGAGCTTGTTTTCCAGAGAACTACCGATACCTTACGGTCAGTCGTCTCCTGCGATTGGTGCAGTGATAACCATGTAGGGGACTGGTTTCCTTTGGTAGTCGGTTTTTCAAGGGTTTTAGGTGGTGGTGGTGTGTATGGGGATGGTTTTACCGAACGAGAGGGTGGATGGTATGGAGTGTATGGGATTATGGTAGGTTGATAATTTGTCTGATTCCAGTGTGTATGGTTTTTCTTCTGGTTATGAATGTATAATTCAAGGCCTTGTTAAAAAATTAGGAGGTTAATAATGCTAAGTTACATGCAGTATGCATGTCTAGAGATTGGTTGATTCCAATGTTATGTGTATGTTAACATCAGCGAGACCGTGTAATTGGTAGTTTTGTGGTGGCCATTATTTAGGCCTACTGTATGTGGTTTTTTGTATAATTACGAATAAACAGTGTTGTGCTGTTACTGTGTATAAGGTTTATAGATGATTTTTAAATATGGATTTACATAGCTTGTTTTCAATCACTTCGTGTAATGGTATAAAGTTTCGTTGCTGTTACAGGAATGGAACAAGTAAAACTGTGTTCAAGTGTGAATGGTTTTTGGTATGGAGGTGAATGTGTGTAAATGTAGTGTGTGGTGTGTGAAAGTAATGTTCTTAAAGATAAGAAAGCTCCCTGTGTCTGGCGTTGTTATGAGGAAATAAAGATGAGATGTAAGATACAATGGTGTCCAGGGTTAATTTATCATTATGGCAGAGTTCATGATAACAGATGAACAATTTAGTGGTTATTTAAAAAACTTTCATGGAGAGTAAAATTTTTGTTTTTTTAGGGAAATATTATATTGTAAATACTTTTTGGGTTGGTGAGACACTCCATTGTCAAAATAGTAATGTAACATCTGATAAACGTTAGTAAATGTTTGTATATATGCCAATCTGTTGGTGATACTAGTTTTTTTACTTTGTGGTGGAGGGGGGATATTTAATTAAGAAATTCTATGCCATGATCAATACTTCCAATTTTATTGGTAATCGTCACAAGTGTTGGAAATGTAAACTTAACATATTGTCTTATGTATGATTTTAAATAACATATAAATAAAAATTCTTTAGTGTTATGCGACACTTTGTTAAATATCTAATTTAGTATTTGTAGATGAATGGTTCTACAAACCTGTCAGACACTGCAACTTCTTGGGATCTTAATACTTGGGAATTCTTCGCTTGCCTAATTCTTGGGCACGACCTACTTCAACATTGAACAAATGTTACACAACCTATGACTGCTACACCTCTCCTGCCATACGGTTTATAAGCTGCTTCTCAGCACGTATGCCGTATTCTATTCAAGATTGATGGACTGACCACATCGACTCAAGGTTGAGGGACTGATTACCTCATTCTCCTCCTGTTCTTCAAGATTCTCCTTTGTGGTAATAAATGGTATAAAATACCGACACAATGGAAATATAAACACAAATGCAGTATAACGTGATCCTTTATTGACAACGTTTCACCCACACAGTGGGCTTTCTCAAGTCACACACGGATCTGACTTGAGAAAGCCCACTGTGTGGGTGAAACGTTGTCAATTAAGGATCACGTTATACTGCATTTGTGTTTATATTTCCATTCTCCTTTGTATGGACTGATGAAGCCACTGTGTGGCGAAACGTTTCCTCAATAAAGATACCCAAGAGTTGCACATGTGTCTAATTTATCAACATTGATAGCTCTGGTATAAATACCGTCACTATTATGTAATGTATGCCGTGGAGGAGATAGTGGTATATGATTTATTATAGCATGTCTTTTAGTGAATTTTTGTAGTAGGATGACATATGTGGCCACAAAGCTCTTATCTGATGTTTACTTATGTATGATGAACATCCTAGGTGGCTCGAAGTGTTTATAGCGACTGTCGGAATGTTGCGCAATTCTTACGGTGTACTGTGCTTATGAATTCTATTTTGGATACCTGTTTGTTAAGGGATGGTGGTTTTCTATAGATTTACTTTTTATGTTGTAATATTACGTTTTAAATAAAATATAAAAAAAAATCCCTTACACCTCGACAGCAAGTCTTCAGCCAGACTCATGGGATCATAGTGGACAGTTGGCCTGTCGATGATATCTTGGTGGCCACTGAGGGGCAAGCTGAAGTGAAGGGACCACGAGGCACAGTGAGAGCTAATGTAGTGGTCTTATGTCCCGGGCCATGGGCTGGACCACTCCTGGCCAAGCTGGATGTTCACATACCTCTCAAGTGAGTATTAGTACTAATAGTACCTGTGGTAATACCAGCAGTCATAGTATAACCATACTAGTGAGTACTAGTACTAATAGTACCTGTAGTAGTACCAGCAGTCATACTAACCATACTAGTAGTAATAGTATAATGAATAAAAGACACAATATCATGTCTGTAAAAATACACACATAACCCGTCACATTCATTACATACATACGGACTCACAGGTAAGAACCCCTGGGGGCGAGGGGAAGTGGGGACAGTACGAAGGGTAGATGGTGAGAGGAATGTCTTGAGTCGAAGATAGAGTCGGGACTAAACCCAACCACTAAGCCTTGGAAGCAGTAACTAGTGACATGGTCCTTAGACAAACAGAGAAACTAAAACCTAACAAATCCCCAGGCCCTGATGAACTGTTTGCAAGGGTGTTAAAGGAATGTAAAGAGGAACTTAGCATATCTTTGGCTAATCTTTTTAACATATCACTACAAACTAGCATAGTGCCTGATAAGTGGAAAATGGCAAATGTAATACCTATTTACAAGGCAGGTGACAGGTCCTTAGCCTCGAACTATAGACCAATAAGCCTTACCTCCATAGTGGGAAAATTTATGGAATCAATAGGTGCCGAAGCAATTCGTAGCCATCTTGATAGGCACAGATTGATTAATGAATCTCAACGCGGTTTTACAAAGGGGCGTTCCTGTCTTACGAATTTACTAACTTTTTTCACTAAGGTGTTTGAGGAGGTAGATCATGGTAATGAATATGATATTGTGTATATGGATTTCAGTAAGGCTTTCGAGAAAGTTCCACACCAGAGACTATTGAAGAAACTTAAGGTACACGGAACAGGAGAAATTTTTTCCTGGGTAGAGGCATGGCTGACAAATAGGCAGCAGTGAGTTTGCATAAAAGGGGAGAAATTAGAATGGGTTCACGTCACAAGCGGTGTTCCTCAGGAGTCAGTGTTGGGCCCCTTGTTGTTCACAATTTACATAAACGACATAGATGAGGGAATAAATAACGACATAAGCAAATTTGCTGATGACATCAAAATAGGCCGTCCAATTTATTCTAATGAGGACACTAGAGCACTCCAGGATGATTTGAATAGATTGATGCAATGGTCGGAGAAGTGGCAGATGCAGTTTAATATTGACAAATGCAAAGTTCTAAATGTTAGACAGGTAAATAACCATGCTACATATAAACTAAATAATGTAGATCTTAATACTACTGATTGGTAAAAGGATTTAGTAGTTCTGATTAGCAGTAACCTAAAACCAAGACAACCGTGCATCAGTGTTCGCAATAAAGCTAACAGAATTCTTGGCTTCATATCTAGAAGTATAAATAATAGAAGTCCTTAGGTTGTTCTTCAACTCTATATATCCTTGGTTAGGCCTCATTTAAACTATGCTGCTCAGTTCTGGTCACCGTATTACAGAATGGATATAAATTCTCTGGAAAACGTACAGAGGAGGATGACAAAGATGATCCCATGTATCAGAAATCTTCCCTATGAGGACAGACTGAAGGCCCTGAATCTGCACTCTCTCGAAAGGCGTAGAATTAGGGGGGATATGATCGAGGTGTATAAATGGAAAACAGGAATAAATAAAGGGGATGTAAATAGCGTGCTGAAAATTTCCAGCCAAGACAGGACTCGCAGCAATGGTTTCAGGTTGGAAAAATTCAGATTCAGGAAGGATATTGGAAAGCACTGGTTTGGTAATAGAGTTGTGGATGAGTGGAACAAGCTCCCGAGTACAGTTATTCAGCCTTAAACGTTGTGTAGTTTTAAAAATAGGATAGATAAATACATGAGTGGGTGTTGGTGGGTGTGAGTTGAACCTGACTAGCTTGTGCTGCTGGGTTTGGTGCCGTGCTCCATCCTTAAGTGTAGGTGACCAGACTGGGTGGGTCATTGGGCTTATCCGGGGGGGGGGATATGGACCTGCTCCGCATGGGTCAGTAGACCTGTTGCAGTGTTCCTTCTTTCTTATGTTCTTATGTTAACAGCAACACAAAAAGCAGGAGAACACTCAGTCTGCCTGGCCGCTTGCTGCATCTTGCATTCTTGATATTTATTGGCGGCTGGCAGAAGCTAGGGGGCGTGGTCAAGGGAGGCTTGTCCTTGATTGGTCAGGTGTCGTTGAAGTGTAAGTCAGGTGTTACTTCTCTTTTTCAGTGGTGGAGGCATTCTTATGTTGTGCAATTGTTGGGAGGAAACGATAAGTAGTCTTGTAATCCTGGGTCGAAATGCCGGGTCGGCCTGCAACGAGTCCAAGATCTGCATTAGTGTTGAGAAGGAGCAACAGGTGTATTTACGATTTGTAAACTTGACTGTTCTGTCGACTACATTCTGATACAAAGTGTCGACATTCATGGTGGGTTCTCGGTCAGGAGTCGTATAAAAAGTTATATCTTTCCAGTGTAGGTATTGATCTATGTAGGGGTCTCCTGTATCAATACGTCGAGTGAAGACTGGTGGAGTTTTTGTTGTCTTTGTTGGTGGTTGCAACATGGAAGGTTTCTTCAATGTTGGTGTCTCAGCTACGGAGTGTATAGAAGACTGTGGTGGAATCGTGGCTTCTGATTGGTCCGTTTGTGTAGTGGTGAGTGGAAGCGAGGAAATGCGATTGACGTCATCACGACGAGCCGATCGACGAATAGCAGGCTTGGTGGTGCCTTGGATGGTGTCAGGTGAGTGTTGATTGGAGGATTCAGAGGAGGTGTCGGCGTTATCAATTATTAATTCCTTCAAGTCATCTGGCGCTTCAAAACTGACGATCTTCGGGATTATTTTCAAAATCTCAGCTGATGGTGGACTTGCAGGGAAGTTAAATGATGGCATGTTGTTAAGTGCAAGAAGTTCATTAATAGTCGTGTTGAAAGAGCCAGGTTATTTGTATAGTGACATTATAATGTTAACACTCCGGCCGTCACTCACACAGGTACAATAACTTGACAGATAATTTCACTATTTTGCAAAAAGCGTAATGACATCACAGCTGAGATGATTCTCCACACCGCAATATTTCCACCTTTCCTTCAGAGTACAGGCACTGTACTGACCACCTCCAGGACTCAAGTCCGGCTAACCTGTTTCCCTGAATTTCTTCATAAATGTTACTTTCCTCACACTCCTATACCACGTTAAACCATAAAAGACACTTGCCTCCACTCGTCTCTAACATGCTCACAAAAACTAATTGGATGTTTAATTAGGCTTTTAGCACTCAAAACCACCTAGACCACTTCCCTCCATCCTCTACTAGGACGACTCAAACCCCTCCCTCACTTAACCACTGTTTCAGATGTCTTCTTATTCACACTTCTTCCATCCTCTCTAAATTTCCAAAACACCTGAACAATCTTCATATTTGTACTTCTCTACACAATATTCACACCATACATTGCTTTACTGCCTCCAGCCTCCACATGCTCCACTGCCTCCAGCCTCCACATGCTCCACTGCCTCCAGCCTCCACATGCTTCACTACACTCTGCTACATTCTCCTTTTGCCTCCATAGGTAAAGTTTGTCTCCACAGATGCCTCAATGCACCTCCATCATATTTTTTATTTTTTTTAACACATCAGCCGTTTCCCACCAAAGCAGAGTGACCCGACGAGAAAAAAAAACTTTCATCGTCATTCACTCCATCACTGTCTTGCCAGAGGCATGCCTACACTACAGATATATAAGTTCAACATTATCACCCGTCCTTCAGAGTGCAGACACTGTACTTACCACCACCAGGACTCAAGTCCGGCCTGCCGGTTTCCCTGAATCCCTTCATAAATGTTACCTTCCTCACACTCCACCTGCATCAAGTCAGAAAAAAACCACTTACCTCCACTCCCTTCTAACACGCTCGTGCATGCTTGCTGGAAGTCCAAGCCCTTCGCACACAAAACCTCCTTTACCTCCCTCCCTCCAACCTTTCCTAGGCCGTCCCCTATCCCGGCTTCCTTCCACTACAGGTTTATACACTCTCCAAGTTAGTCTATTTTGTTCCATCTTCTCTCAGTGTCCGAACAACTTCAACAATCCCTCCTCAGCCCTCACACCTCTTCCTAATTTCCAAACTATGAATTCTCTGCATTATATTCACACCACACATTGCCCTCAGACACATCTCCACTGCCTCCAGCCTTCTCCATGTTGCAATATTCACCACCCATGCTTTGGAATAACTATACTCTCGTGCATTCCCCTCTTTGCTTCCGTGGATAAAGTTCTTTGTCTCCACAGACTCATAAGTGCACACTCACTTTTTCTTCCTCATCAGTTCTATGACTTACCTCATCTTTCATCGACCCATCTGATGACACGTTCGCTCCAAAATATCTGAATACATTCACTTCCTCCATACTCTTTCTCTCCAATTTGATATCCAATCTTTCGTTACCTAATTTTTTTTGTTATCCTCATCACCTTACTCTTTCCTATATTCACTCTTAATTTCCTTCTTTTACACATCCTACCAAGCTCGTCCACCAACCTCTGCAACTTCTCTTCAGAATCTTCCAAAAGCACAGTGTCATCAGCACAGAGCAACTGTGACAACTCTCACTGTGTGTTAGACTTTATCTTTTAACCCCACACCTCTTGCCAACATCCGATCATTCACTTCTCTTACAACCCCATGTATAAATATATTAAACAACCACGGTGACATCACACATCCTTGTCTATGGCCTACTTGTACTGGGAAATAATCTCTCTCTCTCTCCTGCATACTTTACCTGAGCCTCATTATCCTCGTAAAAACTCTTCACTGCTTTCAGTAACCTACCTCCTATTCCATACATTTGTAACATCTGCCACATTGCGTCTCTATCGACCCTATAATACGCCTTTTCCAGAACCATAAATACAATAAAAAACCTCTTTACCCTTATCTAAATATTGTTCACTTATATGTTTCACTGCAAACACTTGGTCTACACATCCCCTACCTTTCCTAAAGCCTCCTTGTTCATCTTCTATGCTGCTCTCCATCTTACTCTTAATTTTTTCAATAATAACTCTACCATACACTTTACCAGGTATACTCAACAGACTTATTCCCCTGAAATTTTTGCACTCTCTCTTGTCTCCTTTGCTTTTATGCAAAGAAACTATGCATGCTCTCTGCCAATCTCTAGAAACCTTACCCTCTTCCATACATTAATTAAATAATAGCTCAAACTACTCCAAAACTATATCCCTACCTACTTTTAACATTTCTATCTCTATCCCCCAGCTGCCTTAACCCTTTACATTCTACCCAATGCCTCACGAACTTTCCCCACACTCACAACTGGTTCTTCCTCACTTCTACAATATGATATTCCTCCTTGCCCTATACACGAAATCACAGCCTTCCTGTCTTCATAAACATTTAACAATTCCTCAAAATATTCTCTCCATCTTCCCGATATCTCATTGTTCGCATCGCTATTGGGCCGTGCGGACAGGCTGCGCAGTAGCTCCTAATTCAACTGGTTTCTGCGCAGTTTTCAGTGTTCCAAGATGGCGGATCGTGCCGGCAGGAGGGTTAACACTGTGTGCATCGAGCTGATACGGGGATCATTAAGCACTGCTACGATGAATGTGCTCCTTCCAGCTATTATTAGGGATCTCTATGGCATCCCTAATGAGGAGCTGTATGGTGTTACCCTCAATGGGTTGAGAAGAGTCTTCGTGAAGTTTACGAGGGCCAGTTTCTACAGTAGTGTGGTGGCTGAGTACCAGGAACGACGGATGTGCCTTAACTCGATGGTGGAGGTGTGTATGCATGATGTGTCTACATACTACACATGGGTTCGGGTAAGGTATGTACCGTTTGAGGCGACGAAGTTTGGGATAGAGGACGTCTTCAGCAACTACGGTGTCGTTCATGAGGCTCGAGGAGGGGTATGGAGGGATGGCCCATATGAAGGCCTCCTGGAAGGTTCCTACACCCTCAAGATGACATTGAAGAGGCCTATACCTTCATATGTTCTGTTGACTGGAAACAGAACTCAGGTCTATGTGCATTACACGGGGCAAAGGAGGACGTGCCGTCTTTGTGACTCGTACGAGCACATGGTGGCGCAATGTGTACGTAGAGCTGCCCCAGGTGTGCCAACCCTTTTGGAGGAGGACCGACAGTTGAGTACGGTGGTGACGGCGAGGAATGGGACGGCTCTCTGGAGTGAGGAGGCGGAGAAGGAGGGGGACCTGTTGGGGACATGTGTCACACTCCCATTTCTGTCTTTGTCCCATCAATCCCAACTGCTTTACCCTCTTTCATTGTACCCACTATCTCACGCACCTCCCCCACACTCACAACTGGCTCTTCCTTACTCCTACAAGATGTTATACCTTCCTGGCCAATGCACGAAGTCACAGCTTCTTTATCTTCATCAACTTTCAACAGTTCCTCAAAACATTCCCTCTGTCTTCCCAGTACCTCTTCCCGCCAATCTAATAACTCTCCTCTTTTGCTTGTTAACTGTTAGATCCATTTGATAACTTTTAGATTCATAATGATAGTTATGTCAGTATGACCATGGCAGCGTAGTTAAGATAATGATAGTTATGTCAGTATGACCATGGCAGGGTAGTTAAGATAATGATAGTAAAGTAATTATGACCATGGTAGGGTGCTTATGATAATGATAGTTATATTAGTATGACCATGGCAGGGTGGTTACGATAATGATAGTTATATTAGTATGACCATGGCAGGGTGGTTAAGATAATGATAGTTATAAGTATAATTACTTCAGGGTAGAGAAGATCTCAGTGTTGTACTGGCGCATCCAGAACCCAGGCTTCACCACCACAACTTTTATTGACTTCCACGACCCAAGAGGACACTTCTATGGACTGCCGGAGCTCGAGTACCCTGGTCTCGTGAAGGTGAGTACCCTGGCCTCGTGTAGGTGAGTACCCTGGCCTCATGAAAGTGAGCACCCTGGCCTTGTGAAGGTGAGTTCCCTGGCCTCGTGATGATAAGTACCCTGGCCTCGTGAAGGTGAGTACCCTGGCCTCGTGAAAGTGAGTACCTTGGCATCGTGAAAGTGAGTACCCTGGCCTCATGAAAGTGAGTACCCTGGCCTTGTGAAGGTGAGTACCCTGGCCTCGTGAAAATGAGTACTCTGGCCTCATGAAGGTGAGTACCCTGGCCTCGTAAAAGTGAGTACCCTGGCCTCGTGAAAGTGAGTACCCTGGCCACGTGAAGGTGAGTACCCTGGCCGCGTGAAAGTGAGTACGCTGGCCTCGTGAAGGTGAGTATCTTGGCTTCGTGAAGGTGAGTATCCTAGCCTCGTGAAGGTGAGTGCCCTGGCCACGTGAAGGTGAGTGCCCTGGCCACGTGAAGGTGAGTACCCTGGTCTCGTGAAGGTGAGTATCCTGGCCTCGTGAAGGCGAGTACCTTGGTCTCGTGAAGGTGAGTACCATAGCCCCCTGAAGTTGAATACCCTGGCCTCGTGAAAATGAAGGCCATAGCGTTGTGAAGGTTAGTACCATGGCCTGAAATTGAATACCTTGGCCAAGTGAAGGTGAGTACCCTGACCAGGAGAAGGTGAGTACCCTGGTCACGTGAAGGTGAGTACCCTGGCCACGTGAAGGAGAGTACCCTGGTCTCGTGAAGATGAATACCATAGCCTCGTGAGTGTTAGTACCCTGGCCTCGTGACGGTGATAACCATGGCTTCGTGAAGGTGAATACCCTGGATCACACACACACACACAAACAACACACACACAAAAAAAATGGGTGGCCTTAGAGGACGGAAAACCAGAGATTTGGTAGACGAACCAGGGAGGAAAGACTGGGAGTTAGAGCTCCAAAAAAGGGAGGAAGAGTGGGGAAGGAAGATAGTAGAGCTTGGTAAGAAAATGGAGGAGCGGATAGCTGAAGAGTGCAGGAAGTGGGAAGTACAGGTCTTAGCAGCAGAAGCTAGGATACAGTGCTTAGAAGAGAAACTGCAAAGCCTGAAACAGATTAGAGAGACAAATGACAATTCAGATGTGACATCAGGAAATTCAAAGTCAGGCGCAGACAAGGGGATGGTAAGCAACAACGGAGACATGCCGTACACGAAGGCCCTATCAGACCCACGTGGGGCCAGGGAAAAGACGATGAGCACACTAAGATCAAACGACAGGTCCGAAGACAATGAAGGTATGCTATATGCAGAGATTCTAACAGCCAACTGCAGTAGCAAGGGACAGCTGGTCTGGAAAGACAGTTCACTGAGAATAGAAGTTTCAGATATGACAGGGACTGAAGGCAAGAACATGTCAATGGAAGGAAATAAAATGCCTCAGAGGAAGCAGATGGAGACTCAGTGGGAGGAGGAAAGGGCGAGGTCAGTTTTTGTGTACGGGCTCCAAGAAGCCAAGGGGGACAACTTTGAAGAAATAAAACAGGAGGAGAAAAAAATGATTGAAGGCATCATGAAAACAATAGGGGAGGGCGATATGACCCAGGTGACAAATTTTCAGAGAATTGGGTGGTTTACGAGTGGAAGGATACGGCCTGTCAGAGTAACTTTCAAGGGAAGAATCAGTTTCGAACCAGGATTCTGCAAGAGAAAGCAAGACTGAGGGACAAAGAGGGGTACCAGAGAGTATACCTCGACCGCGACAGAACACAAGAAGAAAGGACTACACTGAAAGAGAGGGTACAGAGATGCAAGGAGGAACGAGAAGCAACGAAAATGAGCAGGACCCAGACACAGGAGAAAGGGCAAACACACCCCACAGAATCTCCCACCAAAAGACTCCAACCGCGACATTCCCAACGCAACTGAGCAACCTATACTACAACCCACTCACTGTTCCTCTGCCACCAACCCCATATCACAAACCTCACCCCAACAGCTGTCCCTTATGGGCATTCTGACGCCACCCCCATCAACAAAAACCCCACCTACACCACAGCCCCATATAGGCCCCCACCAAGGCTCTCGCTCCCCCAACCCCAATATTCTTGCATGACCACAATGATAGAAAAGAAACTGAAGGTTTGGTACACAAACGCGGATGGAATAACGAATAAACATGAGGAGTGGAACGAAAGAATCAGTGAAAAATCCCCAGACATCATAGCAGTCACAGAAACAAAACTCGCTGAGACAATAACAGACACAGTCTTCCCAACAGGATATCAGATCCTGAGGAAAGATAGAAGGAGTAAAGGGGGAGGAGGGGTTGCACTGCTCATAAAACACCGATGGGGATTTGAGGAAATGGAAGGCATGGACATGATTGGAGAAAGAGACTACATTGTAGGTACAATTCAGCCCGGGTTCAATCCCGGCCGGGGGTATGGTTTAACATAAAGTAGTCATTGGAGTGATGTACAACCCACCACAGAACTGCAGGAGGCCAAGAGAGGAGTACGAAGAAAACAACAGGGTGATGGTGGACACACTGGCTGAGGTGGCAAGAAGAGCTCACTCGAGCAGAGCAAAGTTACTGGTAATGGGCGATTTCAACCACAGGGAGATCGACTGGGAAAACCTGGAGCCACATGGGGGTCCCGAAACATGGAGAGCCAAGATGATGGATGTGGTACTTGAAAACCTCATGCATCAACATGTCAGGGACACAACCAGAGAGAGAGGGAAGGATGAGCCAGCAAGACTGGATCTTGTGCTCACCCTGAGCAGTTCAGACATTGAGGACATCACTTACGAGAGGCCCCTTGGAGCTAGCGATCACGTGGGTTTTGAGTTTTTGACTATATAGTAGAGTTACAAGTGGAGAAGGTAACAGGAACTGAAGGGGACAGGCCAAACTATAAAAGGAGGGACTACACAGGTATGAGAAACTTCCTGCAGGAGGTTCAGTGGGACAGAGAAATGGTAGGAAAATCAGTAAAACAGATGAGGAATATGTGGCAACAAAGTGCAAGGAGGCAGAGGAAAGTTTTGTTCCCAAGGGAAACAGAAATAATAGGAAGACGAAAACGAGTCCTTGGTTTACCCGAAGGTGTAGGGAGGCAAAAACTAAGTGCAACAGAGAATGGAAAAGGTACAGGAGGCATAGGACCAGGAAAACAAGGAGATATAGAAGAGCCAGAAATGAGTATGTACAGATAAGGAGGGAGGCCCAGCGACAGTATGAAAACGACATAGCATCGAAAGTAAAATCTGACCCAAAACTGCTGTATAGCCACATTAGGAGGAAGACAACAGTCAAGGACCAGGTGATTAAGGCTGAGGAAAGAAGGTGGAGAAACTCACAAGAAACGATCAAGAGGTATGTGAGGAGCTCAACACGAGATTTAAGGAAGTATTTACAGTAGAGACAGGAAGGACTCTGGGGGGACAGACCAGATGGGGACACCAGCAAGGAATACCCAACAAGTGTTGGACGACATACATCAGATGAGGAGGAGGTGAAGAAACTGAAAGGGGACATCGATACCTCAAGGAAAGGGGCCCGGGAAAAATCTCCCCGTGAGCCCTTTTAAGGGGGAGCAGATATTTTGTGGTGCCACTTACCAAAAATTCTTAACACACCCCGGGAAAAACTGGGCAATACCTGAGGTATGGAAGGGGAAAATTAGTTCCCTTTTTAAAAAGGAGAAGAAAAGTCACAAAAAAACATAGACCGTGTCATTGAGTGTATAGTATGCAAAAAATGGGAAGATTATCGGGGAAGTGTGGAGCACCTGGAACGGAACAAGATATAAATCCCAACCAGCACGAAGTCAGGGAAGGGGCAAATCCTGTGCCCAAAAACCTTCGGGAGTTTTATGAAAAATAACAGAAGAAAGACACAGAAGAGGGGTGGGTGATTGCATTTTCTTGGATGCAAGAAGGCCTTTGACACAGTTCCTCAAAAGGAAAATTAGTAGAAGCTAGAGCATCAGGTGCATAAACGGAAGGGGCATGCAAGGGATCAAAATCCCTGACAGGGAGGCAACAACGATCATGGTACGTAAAAGTATCACAGTGGGCCCCTGTGACAGCGGGGCCCACGGGGTGGGTCCTAGGACCAGGGGCTATTTTTGGTTATGTAAACGACATGCGGAAGGGTTAGACTCAAAAGTACCCCTTTTGCGATGATGTGAAGTTAATGAGGAGAATTAAATCGATGAGGACCAGGCGGAAAATTCAAAGAGCCCTGGACAGACGGCACCTGGTCCAGCAAAGGGCTTCTCAATTTAATCCTGCCAAATGCAAAGCCCATAAAGATAGGGGAAGGGCACAGAAGACCACGACAGAGTATAGGCTAGGGGGCCCAAAAAAACTGCAAAAACCTAAAATAAAGGAAAAGATTTTGGGGTAATATAACCCCGGCATGTCTCCGGAAGCACCATAAAATCAGATAACTGCTGCGCAATGGGCCCCTGGCAAACCTGAGAACAGCATTCAATCCCAAAAAAGGGAATCATTAAAAGACCTGACCCCGTGTATGTCGCCAACGGGAGTAGGCGCACCTGTTTGGAACCCGCATTTGATAAACCGCCCAAGAAATAAGAAAGTACAAAGGTTTGCGACAGGTTAGTTCCAACTAAGGGAAATGTCCTATGAAAAAAGACTATGGGAATGGGCCTGACGACATGGAGGACAGGAGGGCAGGGGGACATGATAACGACAAAAAATACTGCGTGGGAAAAGACAAGGTGGACAAAGACAGGAGTTCCAGGGAGGGGACACAGAAACAAAAGGCCACAATTTTGGGGTAAGACACAAATGATCAGAGAGATAGTAGGAAGTATTTCTTCATCATAGAGTTTAAGGCAGTGGAATAGCCCAAAAATGACTAGTGGGAGGGAGGAACCATACACAGTTTTAAGACGAGGGGTTTTATAAAGCTATGGAGCGGGGGGAGGAGGGCCCGTAGCAACCGGTGAAGAGGGGGGGGCCCGGAGCTAAGACTCGACCCCTGCAACCAAAATAG